TGCATACCTTGTGGAGAAAGGGAACAGTGAACTGACAGAGCTTCTGGCAAAAAGCCAGCATCTCCTCCCGGAACCGTTGGAAGTTCATTTGCTCGATGACTTCATGGATTTTACGCTTCTGACGGATGAGATCCATGAATATAGCTTTCTGCAGAGAACACAACTGTTCAGTAACGTTAGGTACAAAAGCATGAAGTCAAACATGCTTAAATTTGTTAACAAGCTGAAGAATGCATCATTTTAACACATTCTCCAAAATGTAATAAAATGGCTTAATGCAATATGACAAATTATATCTGACATTGTGAAACATATTAATATGTGACAGTAAATGAAAACTAGCAAACTTTGTGGTTTAATGACTATATAAGAGAGAATTTAATCCATCTAATAATAGTGGGATTTTATTTACATTATGGTAATTGGAATTGCACACGCCATTAAAGACAACTACCAACAAACAAGTTCAGAAATGTCTCGTGGGTTCGGGTTGTTTTTGCATCACTTGTTGTGAAGATGTCATTAAAAGCATCAACAGGTGCTGCATCTGCTATTTGGAAGTAGCACTTTATATACTTGTACAGGAAAGTCTTCACATTTGACTGCATAGTTTCAGAAGGATTGACTTAACTGAATAAATGTATAACATTACTTTCTACAAAGATGTGTAGAATTACATTGTTACCCCTGATATACAATCCATCAATGCTGAGTTGCAGTGATGGAATAAAGCCAGAGCAGCTCATCTCTGTGTATCAAAGATACATATTTAGAACAACTTGTAGATGGTGGTAGTAACAAGCTGAGGGGCAGTTCGGGTGCAATATTGAAAAAGGAGGATTACCTCCACATGCTTTAGGAAAACTTAAAATCAGCAGCCAGAAGGTTGGGTCTTAGACGCAGTTAAGTGTTTCAATAAGACAATGAACCCAAACACACATCAAAAATGGTAAAGAAATGGCTAAATCAGTCTAGAGCTAGGATTTGAGTATGGAATTCCCAAAGTCCTGACCTGAACCCCATTGAGACCTTATGGTCTGTACTGAAAAAACAAAACTATGTCAGAAAGCTACCCAATTTACTTGAACTGCACCGATTTCATCCAGAGGAGTAGTCAAAGATACAACCATCAATGTGAATGTAGCTACTAAGAGAAAGCAAATGAATGTTGATTTTAATGACTGAAATTATGAAGTTGATGCAGTGAACACAACATACACACGGTAATCTCACCTTGCCAGACACTTTTCTGGGAAAGTGCTTGTTGAGCATCTCTTGTGCTTTGTCAAATTTGTTGTTCTTAATGAAAATCCCCACAATCTAAAGACAGGAGTAAATAATTAGTTGAGTCAAATCTGATTCACACACGAGCACTCATCATGTATGTGTGTCTGTGTGTGTCTGTGTGTGTGTGTGTGTGTGTGTGTGTGTGCGTCACAATTTAAACAGCAGCTCTGATTTAACCAAGACACGTCTTTATGTAAGTCAACGTACTGGAAGAAATGTGTGTATGAAAAAAAAACAACAAAAAAAAGTTTACCATCTCTGTAATTGATGCCTTCACATTGTCAAAATCCTGTGGCGGGATGCTGCATTCCTGGTTCATTTTTTTCAGCAATACTAAGGCTGATTCCAGAGGAGTTACTGACGGATCGGATTCGAATGACAGGTCTGTTATTAGAGACAAAGCAATATTCATTGTAATGTTGAGTCACACTGTGCTAATAGGATTAGATGTATGTTCAACCACTGATATAGCGAAAACTGGAAATTGGGTTTTTGGTGTTTCTGTTATTTGTAATGTACGAGGTGTGCCAGAAAAGTTCCAAGACTGGTGTCACAATAGAAGTATTTCAAACCCAAACTCGAAACTACGAGTTTTCCCCTTCAGACAATCAACCAGCACGTCTACAAAGAGATCCTGCGGTGTTTGCTTTGTTCAGTGCGCCAGAAGAGGCGAGAGTTGTGGCAGGACAAGTCGTGGCTGCTTCACCATAACAACGTGCCTGCTCACAATGCCTTGACCATTCCACAGATCCTGGCTGAGAAGACCATCACGGTGCTGGAGCAACCTCCCTACTCACCCCACCTGGCTCTGTGTGATTGTTTCCTCTTCCCCAAGCTCAAGGGGGTCATCAAGGGGACCCGTTTTGAAGACGTGGACGACATCAAGATGGCTGTGACGACAGAGCTGTGGAGGATCGTGGAAGAATCCTTCCAGGAGTGCATGGCGGCGTGGCACAGAAGGCTGGGGAAGTGTGTTAGACTCCAGGGGGATTACTTGGAAGGGGAAGACTTGTAGTTTGTAGTCTGGATTTGAAATATATCTTTTGTGACACCAGTCCTGAAACTTTTCTGACACACCTTGTATGTGAAATAGAGCAAAACACTACAGTTTCATTAAAATTGTTCACATATTATCACACATTATATATTCACGCTGGATTGAGAATGTGTCAAACTGTGACATTACCAAGAAAATCAGACTGTCCTTCATGCAAATAGTTACACTCCCATTTTAACAGGGCATTTTATTTACTGGTAGGCCCATAAATATCACACTCCTGCATCTCTGCAGAGAGCTAATCTTAGCATATTCTAACATTTGTAAACCAAATAAATTGTACACAAAGATGCAGCTAAATTTAGAAAACTGTCATAAAGGCACTGAGATGTGAATGGAGGCGTTAATGTTGAGCTCACCAAGTTTTTCACCCTCATTTATTCGAGAGAGAAGCTCCAAGACTCGAATCTTTGTTGGCATGACATCAGTGAGCTCCACAGGACGTTCCAAGACACCTGCGATGAAATAACGAAGAAGCTTGTCATTTTCCCCAAGCACATATATCCATACAGTAGGTAGCCTAAATAATTCTCGATCATAGCTGCCTCTACACTCTGTGATCATCACTTCTATACATTTGATCAAATGTGACCGGGAGGGAAACTGATTTTAAGCTCTGATGAATGATATTGCACGAAGGCTCCACTCCAGTATTTATTTGTTAGAAAATAATGGAGGCAACTTATTATTAGTAATAAAAATGAAGATTTTTTAAGATTCAGTAATGACAAGACTACAGAATGCATATTTTAAAAAATGTAAAAGAAATCTCCCCCTGTTGCAGAATACCTGTGTGAAAACTGTTATACCCTATAACACTTCATGTTTTTCCTCTTTAGTGTGACATGACATAAACAAACATGATAAAAATCCGGTTAATGGAGTCCATATATCGACCAGACTTCCAGTTAAACGCAACCTCTGTGGTCCTCAAGTGGTTTGTACTGTAATCAGACACTTGCTTAAGATGTACAGCCTACTTAGTAACACTTATAAGTAAACAAACTATTCATACTTAAATTGGATGCCTGAAAACTTTTATTTTGAAGCCTGCAATGCTCAACAGCCCGACATTGTTGTGGCAGATACAGAGCACTTTTAGACATGTGGTAAATTCACCAGTATAAACTATACTACGTAATATATACACAACATACTAGCTAGACGGAGTGTAACCTAGCTTAGCAGGCAAGAAGCGAAAAACTAGTGAAGAGGGTTGATGCTTACTTTTAAGTACGTCTCTAACGCCGCAGAAACCCTCGTAATCCTCCTTTTTAAACATGTCCATCGCCCGAAACACATAATAGTCGACCAGCCACCGGTTGACGATAGACTCGACATCACTTTTGTCGTTGTTTACAGCATCTTTCGCCGCCATGTTTAACGGAAGCTACTGAAGGAGTGAAGCGGGGAAAAGTTTAAGGCTGAAAGGGAACAAGGGGCTAATATTTCCTCCGTGTAACCTTTCAGGCAGCGATTCGTTCCAGTTGTGTAGCACCACGCAAAGAGTAACGGCTCAAAAACGTAGAACATACTTTAAAAAATACGTTGCGATGGCTTCAGCAAAGGACTAAGCATAGCTCGGAATTGCCAGTCCATAATAAGGTGACGACGTTTACGTAAGGATTTAGCGGAAGTGCTGCCTGACAGTCTGAATTTAGGGAATTATTAGCATCATAGGAAGCCGTCACACTAACGGACAACGTTGTGCTGCCACATACTGGACTGGAGGGAATATGACTTGTAAGGAGCATTTCCAATTTTATAACACTAATTTTAAACTTTTAGAGTTACCTTCATATTGCTCTAATAACACAAGGACTGCAATTAATCTTTATTTATATTGTTGATTGTTTTGTTAATTATTTTCTCGATTAACTGATTGGCTATTTGTTCCATAAAATGCCAAAAATTAAAAAAAATAAAAACGTTGATCAGTGGTTTCCAAAGCCTGACTAAACGAGGCGATTGAGGATTTTATCTTGGGCTAAAGTTGGGACTTTATTTCTGCAAAGAGTTACACATATTAATCGATTCATAATATAGCTGGTGATTAATTTAATCGTTGACTACTAATCAATTCACTGACATTGCAGCTCTGACGCTCACAGTTCGGGTTTTAATTTGAAAATTTCAGTGTTGAAATTGCTGCTACATTTACATTTTCATGTACATTTTGTGTTATTCCACGCCTATCTGGACAGTCAGTCTGTGACTGGGAAGTGATTCTGAAAGATGATGGGCTGAAGACTGAAAAACATCCAATACAAAGTTATGTCTTTTGTTACTGATTTGGTTAGAAGTGAAATTACTACCACATTTCCTGAGGGGAGCTCCAGTTTAGGTGGCAAAGTGTCCATTAATCGCAAAGTTAGAGGTTCAGTCCTCTGATGTCAAAGTGTTGTGAACCTCAGTCTGTCTAAAACATAAAGTAATACAGTTTAAAGTTGGTCTAAAGCAAGACAATGTACACCAAATATCAACCCAAGCTGTTACTGCTGTGGAACAACTCCAGCCACATTATCACATATGTTTTGGTTCTGCCCAGAATTAACAGATTTTTGGCAGGCTATATTTAAGTTTTTCTCTAACGTGTTAGGAATATCTACAAAACCCAATGTTTTTATAGCAATATTTGGCACAACACAGGATGTCTATCTTAATACTTGTGGTAAAGGCATCACAGCCTTTGCTACACTCTTAGCAAGGAAGCTTGTGATGCTGAAGTGGAAAGAAACATTACCTCCAACTGTCAACCTTTGGATCAGAGATCTCATGCATCAGCTAATGTTAGAGAAAATCTGTTATGCTACAAGAGGCTGTGCTTTTAAATTTTACACCACTTGGCATCTGGATCAGGTAGAAAAGACAGACGCTTCAGACATTTTAAACAGACAGACTGCGTAGATGGGACCTCCCATTCCTTTCACCTCCTCTCCCTTTTTTTTCTTTGTAAGAATTATCATTCCGATCATTATGATTGTTACTGTGTTTATGCATACACATGTATACACACGTGGACAAAATTGTTGGTACCCCTCGGTTAATGAAAGAAAAACTCACAATGGTCACAGAAATAACTTGAATCTGACAAAAGTAATAATCAATAAAAAATCTATGAAAATTAACCAATGAAAATCAGACATTGCTTTTGAACCGAGGTTTAACAGAATTATTTAAAAAAAATAAACTCATGAAACAGGCCTGGACAAAAACGATGGTACCCTTAACTTAATATTTTGTTGCACAACCTTTTGAGGCAATCACTGCAATCAAACAATTTCTGTAATCGTCAGTGAGACTTCTGCTGCTCTCAGCAGGTATTCTGGCCCACTCCTCATGAGCAGACTCCTCCAGTTGTCTCAGGCTTGAAGGGTGCCTTCTCCAGACGGCATGTTTCAGCTTCTTCCACAGATGTTTAATAGCATTTAGATCAGGGCTCATAGAAGGCCACTTCAGAATAGTCCAATGTTTTCCTCTTAGCCATTCTTGACTGTTTTTAGCTGTGTTTTGGGTCATTATCCTGTTGCAAGATCCCTGACCTGCAACTGAGACCAAGCTTTCTGACACTGGACAGCACATTTCTCTCTAGAATACCTTGAGGGGGGAATGGAATAGCAGGAATAGAGGGGATAGAGGGAAATAAAAAGTGTGAACCTAAAGTTGCTCCTGATGGCAAACAAGCACCTTGATTGGCAGCTCTGTTGTCATTGGTGTGTAAATAGGTGAATGAGAAACACATTGTAAAGCACTTTGAGTAACACTAAGGTAGAAAAGCACTACACAAGTGCAGATCTTTTACTATTCCACAGTAGTATAGCATTTTGTTGTATTTCAATTCCAAGCCTAGCCAAACTAACATTCACACCAAACCCATCTCCAAACCACCACCTACCTGTTCTTTTTTGCTTCTAGCAGATCTCCAGCATTTTATTCCAATATAAAAACCGACATTGTCGGTTATCCAGCATATTGAAAAGCAACTGTGCATGAGAGACAATAACAATTTCCATCTTTAATTTAATCAACTTTATTATGTAAAAGGATGACATTAACGATATGACATTATCAGATTATGACACATTAATTTAAAAAAAAAAAAAAACTTGAATAAAACATTCCATTTATATATTGTTAATAGTAACCTTTATACTTTGTTTATAAAGCTGAAGTACTTTTGTTCATGAAGAAACATTCTCTCGGGAGAGTAGGAAATGAAATCTTTCTCAACTGTCCATGGTCATGTTAAATGGTAAATCTGTGATCAAACATCCATCCTGTTAAGAATCATCAATATACATCACAAAATGCTCTTTATCCTAGATTCTCTGCATAAATCCTCTTTACCTGCCAACTAGTGTGAGGGAAAAAGGTTTAACAAAATAGTGTTGGTGTACACAACTTTGCACATCGTTCCACAGTTTAACATCTCTCCACAGTGATTGTAGCTTTGTACGTCATACAGCAGAATGTAGAGACACGAAGAATAATCCATCAAAAAAATACCATTCAGTGATTCTATTGCTGAACATGAATGTAAAACTACACACCCTGTAACAGAAGCTTATTTTAATACATTAAAATCACAGCATCTGAGTTTGGTCATGAAACCGGACTGTCCTATCGTTCAACACTGGTATGCATCAAACACTTGTGTCCAAACCCAATAAGAGACATTTATAGCCAGTCAGCACAGCGGTATTTGTCAACCTGTATTAGATCTGATGTTTATCTACCTAATATAAATACAAGTTAAAGTTTAGCACTGTATTAGTCCTGTTACTCTCGCGCTGTTTATTTGCTTGTATTCGGATGACATTTTTTTTGCACTCTTGGCAGTTCACTAGCTTTGGATGTAATTTTGCCTCTAATACCTGCGACTATTTTAATAACAGCTGTTGCCTGATTGGGAACACACTTGTGCACCTGTACAACTAAAGAGCCGGATTTTCACGCCGTTTTCTGGCTAATCTTCTACAAACCGTCTTCCATTTCTACATGTGCAAATAATTTCAAAGGACGTGTGTTTGGTTGAACTTTACTCATCTTCACTGGGCATGTTAAAATAATGGGTGAATGTGCTGAATATGGAGAAAGTATGACAACATTTTAATAGGAAAGTCATGTTCTCCTGACATTTAATAACCAGAAAACTGTTGCTGAAGTTAGGCAGTCCAGCAAAAATAAAATAAGAAATGAGACCCTTAATAAATTCCCCTGATATCAGTTAGCTTTCAGTACCTTGACCCTTAGTCCCAAAATAGACACATTTTACATTCTAATGACAGCATATTTCCTAAAACATTATCACCATAGAGCATCAGGTGTCATCATTTAGTGTAAACAGTGGAGATAGAGTTCCTTCTGACAACCACAGATGAGAACAAACAGCAGTATACTGTTCAACAAGCAAGAAAAAGAGACTTTGAAAGTCTAGATTTGATAATACTTTGACAATACCGGCCTGTAAGTCAGGACTTGACTTTAAATCCTGAACCACAGATTCAAAAAGCCACATTCATCCAGTGCTAACAGGCTCATTAACTATGCAGAAAAAAAATAAAAAAAGGAGACAAGTGGTCACAAAATGGACACTTTCATAAATATGGCAAAAAAAAAAAAAATTACAATATCTTTCAAGCTGATAAATTCACTTGACTGAATGATTTCAAAGGCATGGATAAGTGTTCTAGTAACACCCGGGAAAGTGTCTGCTACTATCCTGCACCTCGATGTTTACAGGCCTCTCTGGAGTGGAAAGTAGGAAAAGGCCTGGCAAGCATCTGCTGAGCTCCCCGAGACTTTGTTCAGTATTAAAGCTTGTATAATGAGCCTGGTACCTCAGCCTTTTGTTTTTTTTTTTTTTAAGCAAAGCATTTCCTTTGTAAATCTACAGGCTGACTTCACAATGGAGCTTGGCTCTGCAGATCCCAATGAGCTCACAATGAGCCAAAAGGAGGTTGTGCGAGTGTTTCAAGTCCTCCTTTTCAAAACGCTGTGCACCACATGGTTGGCCGAGGAGCATGCAAAGTGACCACGTCTCAGACTTGGCTCTGTCTGGAGAGTTTGTAAGGGTGTTTTTCTGGGGTTTAAATGCTATTATGTCTAATCCAACTGTTCTTACATACTACTACACACAGAAGTAGGCTCCAGTTCTCCACATAGAGGAAAAAACTGAGTAAAACAATTCTGTTAACACTCCGTCTCCAACCCATATCACATCAGTGGTCTGGCAGTCACCAACTGTTCTAGAGATGTTGAGCAGCATGTAGGAGTGGCGGAATGGCAAATTTATAAACACATACAATTACTACAAAACTGTCTATTTTATTTATTTTTTTGTCCAAATGGAGACTCAGAGTAACAGCACTCATCTCCAGTGAGTCATACGGTCAGCTGTTGAGGAGTGGTCACGGTGATGGAGCTTCAGCAGTTATTTTGAAAAAGAAAAAAAAAAGGGAAAATTAATTTCTACTGGCCTGAGTAACCTAAAGAATCAATCATTTCAGCCACGGAAGGAGAAACCATGACAAAGGAGAAGAATGGATTGGAAATGCCACTCAGTCTTCTTGAATAAGAATGAGGCTTGTGTTCACAGTAGCCTGTTCATTAATTTGAAGATGATGAAAGCCTATTTTTCCAGGCTGAGATGCTGACTGATTGAGCTGTTATACATGCAAATTGAGACGGCACAGTTCAATCTCTGATGTTCACTGTGCTCCATATCCAGGCTCTTTTCAAGTGTCATGTGTGCATGTCCTTTACTGTGATTCCCTTGTCTGGGTCCAATAAAAGCGCTTTCAAGCATTTCCCAATCTCGATTCCACTTGTCTGGGTCCAGTGATGATGAAAGATATGTTGCTGATCCTCCCTCAAAAAAAAAACTCAAAGACAATTCTTGAATGTCATGTCTGCAGCAAAGAAAAGAAACTGCTCTAATTGTGTATTAAAGGTGCATGAGTTGACTTTGAACAGCACCTTATATGGTCAGGAGTAAAAGAGTCATTTGAGTTACATACTGCATGCTTTATGTAAAAACACACAAAACAAACCGAAAAGCTGCTCATGTCAAAAAAAAAAAATATTCCAGTTGTTCAGCATACTTGTGCAGACCAACGCCAAAGGTGTTGGGTCTACATCAGCATGTGAAAGTGACAATACAAACTTTCAGTGGCGGTTGTGATGCACTGGGGTCCCACTGCAGCAGCATGTCTCCGTGTCACCCACTCAAGAAGGGCAGCCTCAGGGAAAAGAGGTCCATCTCAGCCGCAGCCAAAGAGGGCATACAAGAAATCTTGCTTTCGGCACGGTCAAGTCTTGGTGAGTTGCATCAGTCTGCCCTGCTTCTCAGACAGAAAACTCAGACCCGGCACGGCGACCGTGGGTCAACAGCATCAAACGCCGCAGACGCAGGCCCGTGAACGGATTGCACCACAGCAGAGAAGGTGGACCTCCAAATACAGCTTTCATTCCGTCCCATCTCATGCGACGTTCCCATGTTGGCTTCTCATTTTTAAGACGTTCAATCTCCTGCAAGACATTCAAACCCATTTGTAAATAAGGGATTTATCACTCAAATATAAGTTTGCTTTGGCTCATTGCTAAGAAGCATAATTAGATAAACCTCATTACATTAAACTGATTATTTATTCTATATACTTGCACAGTCAAAAGCATTTATTAAGACAGAAGTCCCACTGCTATCATCTTTTTCTAACAGTGACTCCCCATGCCACACACACACACACACTCAGAGGAACAAAGCCCGTGTAACGCAGTGGATACTGACCGTCTCATCGTTGCAGATGGAGTGGATCTGCGTACCAAACATTACAGCTGTGAAAGTGAGGAAGAGGATGGCTTCGAGACAGAGGAAAATCAGCAGCAGCACAGACACCCCTGGAGAGAATTCGCTGCACTCTGGAAGGGAGGAAGACATTCACAGCTTTTAGTTCGCAGCGAGCAAATGACTGAAACCTCAAATAAAACAATCAACTTCACTAAAAAATGCATTTTGAAGAGGACAGATCCCAAAGGTTTATATTTCTTCCCTTTGAGGGTTAAAAAGACATAATAGGCCACTGGGTAAAATCCTGAAAAGTGGGCCAATAAAGACCTTCTGAAAGACCTTCTGAAATGTTATCTGTTCAAGTCCTATGAAGTTGTGGGAGCTAATAATCAAGCGTGTGAATTCCCTTGTATTCCTCTGATGCAATAGCTCTTTGTACTGCAGTGATTCTCAATGAAAGGGCCATGACCTGCTAGAATGTATTTCCTTGCTAGGTCAGAGCATCCTCCTGTAGAGCGCAGCTGAGGCTGGATTTTTAAGAATGAAATATTATCTTCATTTTTCTGGTTCTTCCTACAAAGAGACCGACACTGAAGTAGGAGAAGATCAATGACTATATGAGGATTGTGCTGCACCACTCCAACGACCTGACAACAAGATAAAAATCTCCTCTCGCTCTTTCCGCTCTGTTTGTTTCTCTTCATCTATCTAAGCAGTTTCGACCACTTGTATAAACAGCTGTATAATTCTCAATCTGCACTTGTTTGACATCGCACATGTGTACTTTTGACTCAAACTCATAATATAATCAATGTTGCAAGACAGAGAGGTCTTACCGCTCCACTGGACTTTAATACAGGTGAAGAAGTGCATACCGCTGAGGCCCAGTGCATGGGCGGAAATCAAGGCTATGTACATCTGTGAGGGGAAGAGGAGGAAGGGAGAAATATATCAAGAGGTAGTTACAGAAAGCAAAAGACAAGATATTTCACTGTCATTCTATCAGGTTAGATTAAATACCAAGTGGTAATACATCCTTCTAAATGAAAA